GTGTTTGGAGGGAGCAGTTCAAGATGAGATTAGGGTGAGAGACGGGAGCCAGAGCTTAAGACAAGGCTGCTGACAACCAGCTGAACTCTCCACCCAAGCAGAGAAGATAGAGATGGTCCCCAGATCGGTACAGACTGTAAACTAAGAGCTATTTTCATGAAACAGAGCTGTAAATTAGAGAGGGGTGAATCTTTGCTGGAGAAGTTTTAGAAGAGGACAGAGACAGGATCACGGTAGGGAGGCTTCCTTCGGGGCCAGGTCACACCTCCCTAGACTGGTGAGGGTTTCTGTGTTTGGGACCTAGGGTCTCCTTGTACACAACTCTGGGGCTTGCCCCCCTTTCCCAACTGTGCAGTCCAGTGGTCCTGTCTCGGGCTCCCTACCTTCTCTTTCTGTACCCCTCCCCTTTATTATATTCTCTCTTGCTCCTTCTGGTCTCAAGTGTCTCTGGTTCTCAGGCTCTCTCTTTTCCCTTTATCAAGTTCTGCTCTCAGGAAACTCAGAGCAACTCATTCTCACTAATGTGTAAATGACTAACATAAACAAAGTGCTGCCTGGAATAGGGAAGAGGAGGTTAGCACCCTCTGATTCTCAGAAATTAGGAAGAAGCGCTGTTTGCATGTGCATCTGTTTGGAATGCTTTTCTCACACATTCTCACTCAAGACCTGGCTCCAAGGTCCCCTTCCCAAGGAGGCTTCCTGAGGAAGAGCTATTACTTCTTCCACTGAGCTTCCATTTCAGCTCTGCTCCTCCTGTGTTACTCTATGCATCATCTGGTTGATCTGTCCCCCCTCAAGCTTGTGGACTTTTGAGGACAGACTCCATGTCTCATTCACCTGTTCCTCAGGGTCTGGCATGAGGCCAGGCTCGTGTTAGCCATCTGACCAAGGAGCTGGGAGGGGTCATAAGAGCCGTGTTTACTTAGATCACAGTAGGCTATAGTCTTCATGGGGCTGAGTTTAATGGCTGCTTATTAGAAAAACTTCCTTTCTTGACAATTCTACTTTGATTTCTCCAGTAGTATAAATATTGCTGCCCAAATTCCTACCAATTTAAGATGCTTTGTCAACAAATTTCTTTGTTTAAAATGCAAACATTCCTAATGGAGTTGAGTCCATTCATTTATACAACAAACATTTATTGTGTCTCTGCTCTGTACTACATATTGCCCTAACACTTACAGCAAAATATGAGGGAGTTTACAAGGGACTGCTTTTCTTCCACATAATGAATCAATAGTTCCAAGTCCAGGCCTTATGATTCTTCTTTTAATAATCTATCTAACAGAAAACGTCAGAGATCTGCAACTGGGTTTATGTACAAAAATATGGGTTGTAGTCATTATTTATAATGATCAAAGGAATAAAACTATCCAATAATAGGAGGAGAATCAAATTAAGTTTCATCAATATGATGGATTTTATGTAACTACTTAAAATTACATTAAAAAGAATGTTTTATTAACACAAAAAAATGCTTGCATTAGGGATATTAAATGAAAAAAGCAGGATATAAAATCTGTTTCAGTATGATCTTTTAAAATAGAAGAAATCCTGTGAGGAAATTCATGAAAAAGGTAAATAGTGATGGTTCTTCTAAGTGATAAGATAATGGTTGACTTTTAGTTTCTGTATATTTAATAAACTTTTTGTACTAAGCATATATTGCTTTTATGATGGAAAGAAAGGAAATTTACTGTATTGAAAAACCAGAACCACTTGCCCCTAGCTGCTAAGATCAGCTGCAGAAAGGGGATGGGATGGGAGGGGATGGGGACATCCATGTAGGCAAGAGGAGCCTGCACCTGTTTAAGGTCAGGCAAAGAGGGCCGGGTTGGTGGACTGGGGTGCTGCCCCCTGCAGGCGGAATAGGGAAGAGCAAGCACCAGGAGACACGCTCTGAGGTAGGGGCATCTTGCCTAGGTTAAGCCTGGATTGGAACCGTGCCTTCTCCAGGTTTGGACATGTAGGACCAAGGCTCTGAGCACGAATCACCTTTCTGGGTTTGTTTCCCCTGAGGTAGAGTGAGTTTGTTACCTCAGCAGGGATCACTTTTGGCATTTTTGCGGCTTGAGACTCAATTGTTAGTGTGGTTTATCACCATCTAGAAATATTAATTAACCGCCACCAGGAGCTGAACCTTGAGGCCTGATGAAGGTTACAGCGATCCCCAAGGGCTGCAATCCTCAGCCCTGACCCTGAGACCTGTCTCCTTTCAGAGCTCCAGTATACACAAAGATTTTACTGGGAGATCTTTTGCTGCATCGCTATGCATTGGTATTTAGGAAGAATAATCAAAACATAAAGCAAAGAATGCTAAGTCTGGAAGTGAGATACATGAATTTTAGTCCCGCTTAACTAGAGACCACACAGGTTGGCTAACCCAGGCAAGGCTCTGATTATACCTGTTGCTTGGTGCACAATTATTCTTGAGACCACCCCTCCTTTTACTTTCCAAAGGGTCCTACATTAGATGATAAACTATGTGATCACCCTCAACTAATCCGGTTGTTGACTACGTGACCTCGAGCCTCAGACTGGAAGAAAAATAGAGCCTCCTTCTAGCAGAGAGGGGAAAAGAAGAAAAGAAACAAGTCTGAAGGGGGTGTCTAGGCTCACCCCTGCCCTCATTTCCCTCACCCACCCACTATGGGCAAGGCTGTCCAGCGTGAGAAGGGATGAGAAATAACCAGAGAGGTCTATGGGAATCTCAGGTCGAGTACCTGTGCCCTGGGCCCCAGGGCGCCCAGGGGGATTCTGCGCCTTAGCAGGAAGATCCACACTGACCGTGTGTGGCCAGCAGAGCAGGACAACATGATGGCCTGGAAGTTTCCTAAGCATCCTCCTACTCACTGACACCACATGGGGAAGAAGGAAGGAGGGAAGAGAGATTCCTGATGGAGAGTCTGACCCTTGAAATCAGAAGAGACAGAATCACCTTTGAATGGGATTATTTTTAATGCCCCCTCATCTGCCATCAGCAAAAATGGAGACTAAAAAGAAAAATAAGCTCATTTACAAGAATCAAAGGAATGCCCCCCCCTCTGCCACATGGAAGTAGTAGGGACGATCATCATCCCACATACACTTACATCCTCAGAGGTCAGCTCAGGGCCAGGGCAGGGTAGACCCTCAACAAGTGTTTATTGAATGGAGATTCCAACTTCAAATCACACAAAAGAAGACAATAAAACTCTGGACCATTCAAGTATAATCCTGCAGAAATATTAAAACGCTTCCGGAAATAATATTCATAGCTATAGTTACCGTAACAGGCAAGGGAAAAACCAGCCAAGGAATTCAGAGAATCGTTTTGTCAACTATGCAGCCTTAGCACTATGTCTCCCCGTGGTATCATATTACAAGCTGATCTCAAATATTACAAGGATCTAACCTTCCTTTACGGCACTTTACATAGGCTGCCACCAGAGGCAAGCTAATAGATTATAGTCCCTACTGATCTTACTCAGATAAGGAAATCCCAGTGACCCAGTCTTTACCAGCTGAAAGAAACACATTTTGAATAATTACATCTCATTGCCTCCTCTGTTCTGCAAAAGGAGAAAAAATATACTCTAGATTTACCATTAAAATAGCAGGTGTTGGAGGAATGTAGATTAAATGATTGAGAACCTATTTCTTTAACTCTGGGCAGTTTGATGATAATTACATTACAATTCCCTAAAATAAATATTTTCAGTGAAAATTGAAAATTCTGGTAGGCCAGAAGGGTAGGTTTACAAAGAGAGCTTGTGTGAAGTTTGGAAACAGACCTATTTTTTCCTCCTAGTGGGCAAATAAATATATTCCTTAGATTAAGTGGTAAATATATTACTTCCATAGTTAGAGATACTAGATTTCAGTAGTACTTAATATTGGTCTCAAGGGATTACGAAACACCGTGATTATTGCATTTCTTAACAGGTTCCCACCCACAGCACTTCTTCTTTTCTTTTTTGAACTCAAACTGCAATTTACTTTTCCAAACACTTTTCTAACTAGTGTAAAAAAATAAAGTTGAAAATCTTTGGGGAGAGTCTGCCCTTTTCTCTTAATAGCACCCTGCCAAGCAGTCATTCTTTTACAAATGTAGAGAGAAACATGTTCTGGAATGAGCTTGAAATTTAATTTGGCTCACTTTGGAGAGAGTACTTTGGAAAACTGGCCGTATGCCTTTGTTGCTGTTCTGCAAAACGTGAAGATTCCCCTGGGTGGCTGGGGCCTTGTGTGCTCAATCATTAGCTGAAGTGCGTCCTAATTGTTAGACAGAGAGAATGGATATCTGGACATAGAGTGTCCTGGTGGCTTTTCTGTGGAGTAAATGAATGAACTTGGACATCGACAGGTCCAAATAGCCTCATTTCATCACCAAGATGCATCCACTAGCCAGCACCATTAACTTGGAATTCACTGCCTCCCTATAAAATTAGAAGAAAAAAAAAGCAATCAAGGCCCAATTCAATGACTCATTAAGTACGTTTTTAATGTTGAGGGTCAGTCCAGTCAGAGGACACGAGCTGCAGAGCTGCTGGTGCAATCCAGCTTGCAGCTGGTTCGCCCAGGGTCCCTGTGGTTTGCACATACTCACATGCATAAAGCAGAACTAACATCTAAAAGAGTGGCCCATATCTGTGGGAGGAAGAAGAATTAGCACTGAAGGATACTTTCTGAATAATGTTGCTGTTTATATTCTATTTCAGCTTGAGGTTTTATAGAAAGCCCTATAATCTGATTCAAAATGTTTATAGAGAAGTGACAGCTGAGGTTGAGGTCCTCTGTGTCCAGACCTGGGGACTGGGACATCTACAAACAAGGCTTATATAAACCCATCAGCATGGAGATTTCCTTACTGGGGAACCTTCGAGATCACTAAGTTCCTTCTGTGTAGTCACTCGTGGAGGATTTACTGAGTAGCCCTTGGGTGTCGCTGCACCAGGATCTGGGGGTAGAGAGGCAAAGAGGATGCTAAGCAGACAAGAATCTGCACGACAGCGGTGAGAATACAGCAGAGCTAGCTGGGAGGTGGGATGGGAGCAGAGAAGTGGGTGAGAACCTCTGCTTGGTGGTGTTTAGACGAGGCTTCAGGAAGGCTCTGAGCTAAGACCTGAGGAGAGTGAAGGTGTTCACCAGGTGAAGAGGTGGGGGAAGATGTCCCAAGCAGAGGAACCAGTTTGAGAAGAGAGATGTACCTTAACAAGATGGTATGGTTGTTGGGTGAACAGTGGGTCAAAGTGGGGATCTTGAAACAGGGCTAGAAAGGTTGATCAAAACTAGAGTGAAAAGGGCTAGGATGCCATGTTTAATTAATCTGTAATGTAAACTGTGGGTGATGTAGAGCTATCAAAGTATTTAAGCAAGGATAAAATATCATACAATTTGCATTGCAGAAAGATGCTGACAGCCGTGTGGAGGACGGATCGGAGGAGGCAGTGATTAGAGGGAGGGAGATCATTAGGAGGTGATGTCAGTTGTCTGCAGAAGGAAACCTCAGCATCTCAGCAAGAGCAGCTGCCTGTGATTGACGAGAGGTGGGTAAGGGACCTGAGGCACAGCAGCTGTCATCTTTGCAGACTGCAGAGTTTTTCAGGCTCTAAAAGCATTGCTTGTGTGCTTGGTGACTGAAGGGAGACCAACCCAGGAAACATCCTCAGGAAATGTAAACATTCCTTTTGCAATAACCTCGAACCTTTGCAATCTTTTCTCCTCCTGTCACTGACAGATAACTTCTTTTCCTTCCTAGGAAGCATGGACAGCAAAATGAAAAGCTCATATTTAGTAATCCCATGAAGACTTAATCACAGATTTGTCTTGACTTTCAAGGGCTTAGAACCGTGGCCACCACGGAGGGGCCCCTCTTCGGATGTGGGTGTGTAAGGAGGGCGGCGCTGCCTCTGTCGGGGGCAGAGAATAAAGACAATGCTGGGAACCGAGCTGGAGAATGAAAGCCCAAAGCCAGAGGGAAGAGCTCCGGCCGAGAAGGTGAGGCAGTAACGAGTGAAGTGGGTGACTGCAGGATGCTGTACAATCACACGGTTTTTATTTTTCTGCTTTTCATGATGGAAAGCTTTCCCAGTGATGAGACCTGCCTCCCTCTTACATTTCACTTTGTGGTCTGCCCTTTCAATTTGGGCGTCTCTTTTGGGCAGTCATGGTCTCATAGGCTGTGTTGGCAGAACTTGGGTAGGATACAAACATCTTTCTCAAGATGACCTTGCCACATCCTGTCAATACCAGCTGTTTGCCGTGTAATTTAGTTTCTCCAGTCCCTATCTACTTTGTCTTCCCAGGAAGACCGAAAACTCCCTGGAAAGGACAACCCGTCTTGGCATTCCCAGCCTATCAGAGGTTCTCAGCACACGTTTGGTGAGAGAGCTATTGTGTACGCTCCCTAAAAATCCACAAGATGGCCCAGGTTCTACTGTCACACATACCCCAGCTATCCCCACCACCTCTTTACTCCACCACCATCTGCACCCTGTGATGAAAAGCTGGATTGTTTATGCAAAGAACTTTCTCCATGATTTTCATGGTGGCTATTCCATACGGCACACTTAATGTGACTGGATAACCAGGCAGACCGCAGGATCCTTGCGAAACACAGCCTCCAGAGGCTTCTTGTATTTATTGGCAAGAGGGAACAATACAGGTTGCTGGTGCACCTTTTACATCCAGGAAAATAATCACAAAAAGCATGAGTGTAAGTTAGATAAGAAATGAGTCACACAGATGTCCCCCCAGATACCTGCAGAGTCAGTGTGTCTGGAGGAGGGAGGCAGCGGAGAGAGAGAGCAGGGTGGGCAGGAAACCGGTGGGAAGAAGAAAGCTCCCTGGAATAGATGTCTGGGTCCTGGGTGGCCAGGGTGACTGCTCGGTCCTAAAACAAAGCAGCACCTCCCTCAGTGCTGGGGTCAGGATTCCTGTGCCCTACAAGACAGCTCACTGTCGGGTGGGAAGAAAATGTAGATGCTCTCACATTTGCCTCTTTAATTCCTTCTTTTCAAAATGTCTACTTTAAAATACATTTTATAATTGCAATAATATTGGTATCATAGTATATGCACATATTTTAAAAATAAATATTTGTTTATTGGCAGTGTCTGGTTTTCCCTCTTAAGGCACACAATGAAAGCAGAGTGGAGATGTCTGCTACGGTACAAACAAGTCATCCACCAAGGCTCTGTTTTCAAAGAGCTTACATTCTAGCTTGGGTGTTAAAAATACATATATACGTAACGTACATTCAGGAGCTGTTGTGTCCCTAGATGCACACGCACAAAGAGCATGGTCATGGTTCTCGAAGATCAGGACAGTAACAAAAAAAATGAGCAGAATGGAGAACAAAAAAGAGCGTCCATTTTGCCAGTAATAGGATGGGTCCCCGGGGGGCTGACGTTATTCTTGTGTGAATGGGATTCCTAATACACCAAAGGAGAGGAGTTTTTAATGCCTTATGAAAGGAAATAGGAAGGAAATACAGACATCTTCACATTGGCTGTCGGGAGCCATGCCATCACGGTCCCCCAGGAGGCAGCACGCGTCACTATAAAGCTGGAGAGAAAGGCGTGGACAATTCTGAGAACTCCATTTCTTCACAAAGGCAGCTTGACTTCCCATGTGACCTGTTCTAGAGATCTTTCTTCAAGTTAGTGAAAACTAAACATGCCAGTTCAGAAGTTTGCAAAGGAATTCAAATCTGCACAGTAGCTCCCCAGTAGTCAGAGGAATGTTCTCTCTATGGAGAACCTGTGCCAAGCTCTTGACATGACTGCGCTTCTACCTTGTAAATGACACCTGGGAGTCACAGCGCTGTCAGCTTTCAGAGGAGAACACTGAGCCACAGAGAGCTGCAGTGACTGGCACAAGGTTTCTCAGCTAGCAAGTGCTAACGTGAGAACTCCACCCAGCCCTGCCTGACTCTGCCGGGTCCCACAGCTCTCGAACGCTCTGTAAAAGGGTGCTTAGCTCCTGACGACTCAGTGTGCTTTCTGGTAGCCAGAGTGTGTTACTTCTCTTGCCTCGAGACATAGTGGCGACTCCTCAGCCCAATATTGTTACATATACACATCGATATCTGGTAAATAGCACCAGATCAGCCGCCAGCAGTCATCCCAAATGTTTTATAATTCTGCCATATGTGTTTGATTGTGGCATTACATCGTCTGTCCTAATTAAGATGAAGGGAATCTCAATGGAAATAACCAGTTCCGTGAATGCCAGAGCCACTCACAGAATCCCTGTGAACAGCAGGCTTCCCAGCCCCGGGGCTGCTTGTGTAAACTTCCTGAGTGATTATACGTCTGCTGCCCACTCCCGTTTTTAGAATAATTGCCACTGAAAGTATTGAAAAAATAAATATCTCTGTCAAAAATATACAGACAGGTAAAGCTTACCCAGAATGCTCAGGGTGGTAGGAATCATACATTTTAGTAAATTGCATATTTGTCCGAAAGCTTTCGACTCCTCCCTGGTCTTCTTTTGGTCCTACAATTGGTAGGAGGGCTTGGTGTCACAGGAGGCGGAGACAAATAAGTGGAAATATTGTACATTCTATCTGGTTGATCGGTTCTGATGTGTTATGACTGAGCACTTTGGTAAATGAGGCCACATCTAAGCAAAACTTGGTGAGGAATGTTTGCCTCCTTTTGGTGGAAAACATGCATTTCTAAGTACAGGGGAATGAAGGTAGCTCCCTTGTTCAATAATTATATTTCGAATTTTAATTTTTTAGTTTTATGGGCTTTTCTTTTACAAAATTAAGCGAAAGAAAGTTTCTGACTCCTTAGAATTGCATAGTCCACTTGTTGAAATATGTCCATCTTAGTTCGCTCTATTAGGGCTGGCTATGCCTGAACTGCCGTCAGGGGCCAATACACACCTTAGAATGATTTGAGCTGACTTCAGAGAAGAAAACAAACAAGCCCTGTCCCAATGGGGATGTTCTCCAGCCTTTCAAAGTCACCCAAAACAAGGTTGACAGAGCCAGACTGCTCCACCAGAACCTCCTGGGGGCACTGTACTGTTTCACTTTTCCTTTGCAAGTCCCTGGCACGTTGTCCCTAACCTTCGGAGTCATAATAGTTTGGCTCGGTCGTGACTGTCCTTTAAAAGTACCAAACCTGGGCAGGGCTGAGGGGGTGTTTCCCACACTGGTTATAAGATATGACGGAGGAAGGAGGGAGGCTGCTTTTCCTGAGCAGCTGAGGCTCATTACAGTCCTGAGTCTGTCCCTTACTACCTGTTCTCTGTGCAGACGTCTGTGCACCCCACTGGTCGGTTACATATTCAAACCCGGAAAGAGAGAGCTTCCTCAGATGAAACATTCTCCTTGGGAATGTTTACCTTAAATCCACAATCTATTGTTTCCTTAGGAGATAGAGAAAATAGTAAAAAAAAAAAAAAAAGAAAGGAAAGAAGAAAGAAAGAAAGAAAGAAATTCAACCCCACCTTCCTTTTAAAAACAGTCAGCTGGAAACAAAGATGGCCTTCACAAATCAAAACACACAGTGTGGAGGCTGCAAGTTACAACATGGCTGGAAATTGACTGACTGAGTACACAGGCATTTGTCTTGATAAGTGAAAATGGGACCGTGCATGGTGAGCATTTATATCTGGAAGGAATGGCCACAACACTCTTAAGATAAGGACCGCAAGTCCATCACTTCTATATTTTGAAGAAAGAAGCCTGAGGAAACTAACGTAGAGAAGTTCTGCTTTGTATCTGAATGGTATATGAACCAGAATGGCGAGCTACTAACAAGAGCTTGCCTGTAAAACAGCTCACCAATCGGTGTCTTTGGTTATTTAAGAATATATCCATGTTTGCAAGTGAGCAACGTTCAAAAACACTGAACGATTGACAAATAATTATTATGTTCACTTATATCCTGAGCCATTTCCAAATTTCATTGAATGGAAGAAGTTGGGAACTCCTATTGCATTCTTCTTTGCACTTGATGAGAACAGAATAAAGCTGGTAAACAAAAATACGCAAAAACTGGAAATTGGTCCTTACAAAAAAGAGTGCAGAAACTGTGCTTGGGGTGCTGTGTTTAGGGGGACATGGAGGCTGAACAGCTTGACGGTATCTACCTGAAGCAAACATGTCCAATTCTAAATGATTTGGCCTCGAACACCCTTTTCTTTCTTTCCCGCCCCACAGGGCTTGTCCTCATGGTGTTCAGCAGAGGTAAGAAGTGGGCCGATGGCTGTGGAGGCAGCCCCCTCCCTCGCACAAGTCAGCTGAGGAGGAAGTGTGTCTGCCCAGAATCAGCATCGTGTGATCTCCCCAAGGGCCAAAACACATCCAGAGCCTTTTGTTCCTGACTTAGCCCAACTTCCCCCGCCACTTCTGGTCCCTGCCTTTGGAAACAGACTCTACTCCTGTGGGCTCATTTTTAGAACCTGGCAGAATCAACATTTGTCTTATTCTGGCTCCCTCACTACTGCTGAGCCCTGCTCTAGACAGTCTAGGGAGACGTGGTGAGGCTAATAAAGACAGAGTATTTATTTCCAGGTTTTCTTCCCCAAGCATCAGCTAAATCCTGCCTCTGTGAAGGAGTCACTGTGTATCCACACAGCGCTGTCTTACTTGAACCCACTAGACTCAAGATTCTCATTTAAAGTGGTCAGGGAGGTACTGCTCATGCCTCACGGATGTCTAATTGACTCCAGAGGGTAAGTGACTTTGCAGAGAAGATATGGCAGGATGGAGACTGGCCTCAAACTCGAGGCATCTGATTCCTGGGCTGATGATCTCTCGCCTTAAACTACCATGCCGCTCATAGCCAGTGAAGAAAAGGTATGAAGACAAGAAAAATCCTTTCTCTTTGGCAGCTCCTTCCTGGCATTGCTGTGGTAACCATTTTCAGCTTGGCAATTGAACACACATTCTAATTTGTGGAGATGGATAGATTAATCATATATTCGTTAACTAGATCGAGCTATTTCCTTTTGAACATCCTGCCTTCAGCCCTCCCCAGAATGAGGGAATAGAGGAAGAAATCAGACCTCCCCACTTAGTCTGCCACTTGCTGGATATTATTTAATTCATGAGCATTTACTGAGAAGGGAGTATGTGTCCTCTGTTGTACCACGCGAGGCAGGTAAGATTGATCCCAGCATTGAAAAACTTGCCCTGTCGGGGTTGACAGACATGGGCAGTGACTTGGAATAATAATTACAGAAAAGCAAAGCTGGTGGGAGTGAAATGCTCAGGTGTGCGGTGCAGTTGTTGGGACCCTGAGGAAGGTGGTGGAGGCTGGATTTGTAAGAGGAGGGTCCACAGAAGAGGCAGTAAGATGGGATTTGAGCAGCCTTGGGCGGGGGGTGGGGGTGAGGGAGACGGGGAGGAGAGAGAGAGGGCAACCCCAGAGGGAGGAAGAGGCAGCGAGGGTGCGGAAGCGGAGAGGAACAGGTAGGGTTGCTATGAGAAATAGGATGTGCCCAGGGAACAAACACACCAGGAAGACCATAAAGTGACATCTAATTAAAAATAAGGTGAAGTTGTTTGTCTAAATGAGCTACGCCAAGGCTAGCTCAGACTGGTCACACTGGGGGAAGACATCATAAAGCTGCCTACAGGACGTTATATGCAACAGAAGCTTACCATCATTTTGCCACCATCCTATCTTCAGAGTAAAGCAACGGCATGGTTCTAAACAGGCTAACTAGAAAATAGGTAATGAAAAACCTTGCTGTCTTCAAGACCTGCAAAATCCATTATGAGAGCCACCAGCCACCACTTGAAACGTGGCTACTCCAAAGTGATAAAATACGTATCAGATTTCAAAGACCTCATATAAAAAGGTGTATATGGTATTTCCTTAATAATTTGTATATCATTTACATGTTGAAATAATACTTTTGATATACTGAATCAAATAAAATATTTAATACTCATTTATAAATATTGTTTAACAATAGAGAAGAGGAGAAATTGTCACCCCAGGCAGAGGGGCAAAGAGTGCAAAGAGGAAACAGGGACAACTTGAAAGGCTATCAGGCACACGGTAAAGAGGGTGACACCCTGTGTGAGGATATTGGCTCTGACACCACATTCCCTTGGTCACATTATTAACCTTCTAAGTCTCACTTCCCACTTCTGTAAAATAGGGATAATGATTGTTTCAACCTCATTGGACAGCTTAATTGAGATGTCACCTACAAAGGGCATAAAACAATATTTAGTACATAATAAGCACTCATTAAGCATTACAATATATGATGCAGGGGGAAGGGGTGGTAAGGGACTTTATTCAGCAATGAATAAGGCCAAGGCACTTTTCATTTTGCTTGGAGAGGTCGACAAGAAATAAATAATCAGATAAATAAACCACATATTTAAAATCATGATGCAGTGAAGTGGGTGGGGTAGGCACGTGGCTGGGGAGAGGCCACTTCAGGCTGGTGGATGGGAAGTCCTCTCTGAGGGAGTGAATGCGAGCAGTGCCCCAAGGAGAGCTTGTGCTGGATAGCAAGAACACTGCAGTCCTTTTCTCTAAACTGGTTGATTTATTCCTTATGACAATGGTGGACACAGCCTTCAATTACAAAACACCTATTGACAAGGTATTTTTATTTCTGGAGATCACAAAGATTCTCCCCTTAATGGGAGAATCTTAATGGGTCCACGAGTTATCAGGTATCTGCAAACTACTGAGGCTGAGATATTAGTTAATAATAATTATCTTTGTGGAGCTGTTAGATCTTATCTTTGGTGATTCTGTTAGAATTATCTTTAAATGTAGCTTCTTTCCCCCACCCCCCACCATAGATGTTAGGGTGCACCCGGAATCCTTGTTCTTGGCCAGGAATTCCTCCTCCAGCATTTTGTACAAGCCTAGCAATTTCATAGACGGCTACTCAGGAGAGATGAGTAAATGGAGCACTTTCCTCACATTAGGGGTGTTCTTTTAGCTCTCCTAAAGCAGAACAATGTGTTCCCAAAGAACCTCGCTTTTCTCGGTTCTGCTAAATTTTCTGAAACTCCAAAGCAAAGAAATCCTAAGACAGAAGAAGAAAAGTTCTACCAACAGGCCAGGAGAGCAAGTGAAGACAGCACTGACTGAGTGCCCCATACCACGTTAGGGACTTACCATATCAAGTTTAAGTTAATCTTTGAGCCAGATGTGATTACTCTTATTTTATAGATCAGGAACAGGTTCAGAGAGGCAATGATTAAGCAACTTGCCCAAGGCCACAGCAGTAGAAGACTACAGGACTCGGATTTCAATCTGGGTATTCAAAAATTCTAGCCAAATTCCAGCAGCTATTTCTTGCCGCTCTACCAGACTGCCTTCCTGACCTCCAGAGACTGCTGTCTCAGGATGACTATCCTCACTTTCTGTTTTTCTTAAGAACAAGTGAAAATATCCTCTGTTCAAAGCAGAGGATACCCCTCCCGCCATGAGTATCAGAGACAAAATCACAGATCTTAATCGGAGGTCTTACCGAATGATATTCTCCAGCTTCAGGCATTTACACATTGCTCTTGTTCTGAAAAAGCTTGCAACTGGGAAGTGTGGGGAAAGCATTTTTAATCACCGTAGGGAGAGTCAACAAAAAAAATGGGGTTTCTTAGCTGTTAAGGGAAAGAGTTCAAGACCCCCGCCTTTTTTTTAAAGAGTCCAAACTAATCAAATACGCCTTTGATTTAAAATCTTTCATTTTTTTGGACATGTTGATCTAAAAGAACCATGAGTATGCTGCCTGAAAAAATCTGTAGAGTTGCTTTTTTTTTTAAGTCAAGGAATGCTTAGACTACTAAAAATTAGCCTTTTCTGTATATAACTGACAGCCCAGCATTCCAGCCTTTCCATTCCTGTGCACCTGCAAATTCTAACACTGATCTAGCCCCGAGTCCTGGGGTGGCCACAGCCACACTGCCAGCGACAGCCCCTACCAGAGACTTCTGATCTCAGCTAGAGCTGCTTTCACAGGTTTGAAGAAAGCCCTTTCATTTCTAGGCAGAAGCAATATGCAAGTGTCCAGTTCTACACTGTGTTATTATTACTGTCATCTTTGCCTAAATTCCATCTGGCAAGGGGCCAAATAGTCTGTTCCAAATCGGGTGTGTCTGTGAAGAGCACTTTTCTATAAATATTCTTAGTGTTGCCGGCCACATCGTCTCTGTTGCAACTATTCAACTCTGCCTCTGTGGTATGAATGCACCCACAGACAACATGTACATGAATGGGTGTGGCCATATTCCAATACAACTTTATTTACAGAACAGACAGTGGGCTGGATTTGGACCGTGGCTATAGTTTAGTAAACCCTAGTAGAGAATAATTTCCCCATGCCCATCAACAGGGGCGGCCTTCAGAGCAGCTGCATCAGTATTACCTGGGAAAACTGTTAGAAATGCAAATTATCCAAGTTTG